TAGGGGACAAGCTAGGGGATTCAAACTGACCACCTTCGCCTTGGAGGCCAGGCTGTTTACTGCCGGCCACCAGAGTTCCCTGAATTTGTTCCACAGCCTGTAAAAGCTGGAATCAGTCACCGCAGACAGAGAGGTGGAGACAAAGGCAGCCAAGGTCGGAGTAGACTTGGAGATGTGTGTTTCTGGTGGATTTTATGGTTTGACATGGTGAAGCCACCCACAGCTTTTAAGAGACACCCTCTGCATATGGACAAACACAGGTCCAGGGGACACCTTGTACCCCCTTCAGCAAAGTCTCAGGGGTAGATCACCACCCCTCCTGAGGGTCAGAGTGCACGGTCAGTCTGCGCTGGACACCTAACTGGGAACTGTCCGTCCCCAGGCATAGCCAGGGCCGCTGCGCCCTCAGAACACGTGGACGTAGGTGGTCTTGGAGTCTCTGCCCACCGCGTTCTCTGCGGAGCATTTGTACAAACCAGCGTCCCTGGACGAGGTGAGCTGGACGGTGAGCGCGCCCTGGGGCTGCAGGATCTTGTTGGCGTGGACGCGGGCGTGCGCTCCTGCGGTCAGCCGTGCGCCATCAGGCAGCTCCCAGCTCACGCGCGCCCTGGGGATGCCCACGGCCAGGCAGCTCAGGTGCACTGCGCTGCCCGTGCGCACGTACACCACCGGCGCCGCCTCGCTGGTGATGCGCGGCGGATAGGCAATGACGATGACCGGCACGCTGGCCACCGCCGTGTCCACCCTGCAAGCGTAGCTGCCCCGGTCTAGCGCCGAGGCCTCGCGGACCGTCAACGTGCCATTATCCCAAAGCACAAAGCGCCCCACGGCCTGCGGGACCCCAAGAACCAAGCCGCTGGGGAGCGTCCAGGACACTGGAGAGGGCCGGCCAGCTGTTATGCGCAGCGGACAGTTAAGGTGCAGCGTGTCCCCGTGCGTGACGCTCACGGCGTTGTGCGCAGCCGGCTGAGGCCCCACCTGCACGGACACCAACCTTTCCGAGTGTCCCGAGGGATTGCGCGCCACGCAGCGGTAAGGGCCTGCGTCCGCGGGGGACAGGCTGGAGATGTGAAGCCGGCCATCGTGCTGGTGGAAGAAGCGGCGCAGCCTCCGGCCACTGGCCAGCTCCGTCCCGTTGGGTAGCAGCCAGAGGAGCGTGGGCGCGGGCGCGCCGGCCGCCGAGCAGTTGAGGCTGATGGTGTGTCCGGCGGAGGCGATGATGCGCTCGTCCACGGGGTCCCTGAAGACCGGCTTCTCTGCGGGGTCCAGCACCGTGAGCTGGACGATGAGCTTGGCCTCGCCGCCCTCGTTACGCGCGATGCACGCCAGCTGCACGGAGTCGCTGGGGCGCAAGCTGCGGATGTCCAGCGTGCCGTTCCGGTGCACTGTGACGCGGTTGCCGTAGTAGGGGGCGGGCAGGACCACCCCCTCGGGAAAGGCCCACAGGGCCCGTGGAGCTGGAATGCCCTCAGCGCGGCAGTCAATGAGCTTGCGGCTGCCCCCGGGGGCCACCTCTCGCACGGTGGTGATGGCGTTGGGGCTACCGTTGATCTGGGGCGCCTGGACGCGCACCTGAACCCACACAGCCTTGCGGTCCTCGCCTGCGCTGTTGCGCACGACGCACGTGTAGTTGCCGCTGTCCGAGCGCTGTGCCTTGCGGATGACGAGCGTGCCATCGGCGGAGACCTCGTACTTCTCAGAAGAGGCCGGAATGAGCCTGTGCGTCGGGGACAGCCAGGTGACCCGGGGCGCGGGGTCCCCTTTGGCGTGGCACGACACGGTGACCACGTCTCCGTAAGGGACCTGGACCACGGAGTAGGTCTTGTTACTGATCTCCGCCGGGGCGGCCACCACGTTGACCCTCACTTTCATCTCGTCCTTGCCCACCTGGTTCTGCGCCACGCAGGTGTACTCGCCGGCCTGGCGCAGACCCACCTCGTTAAAGTACAGGGTGCCGTTGTGGAAGACGACGAAGCGCTTGGTGCGCGCAGCGCCGCCCTCATCCGACTGCATCACCTGGCTCCCGTCCGGGAGGTTCCAGGAGATCTCGGGGTCCGGCAGCCCCGTGGCCACGCAGTCCACCTGCAGGTCACTGCCGTAGGGCACGCGCTGGTCATGCTCCTGGTGCTCGATCTTGGCCGGCTGCATCACCACGTTCACCTTGAGCACCACGAAGTCGTCTCCCATCTCGTTACGCGCGACGCACAGGTAATTTCCAGAGTCCTTCTGAGTCACCGCCCTCACCACCAGCGTCCCGTTGGGGAAGACCTTGATCCTGGGGTCGAAGCTGAGCCAAGGAGACAGAAAAAAATATAGAAAGGCATAAGTAAAGAGAGAAGACAAGCGGTCTGGATGTCTCCTTTTGAACGTCTAGCCAACCCTGCTCTGTGCTGGCCGCGTGGTCATGGGCCCCGGGTGGCCACCTTGAAGGCCACTGAGGTTTGGACCGGCCATCTGCTCCCTGGGAGATTGGGAGATGGATGGGGCCGTCTCCTCCCCTGCAATCTGCAATCCCTGAAAACACAATTGGAGGGTCACCTGGGGTGGGTCCCAACCTGATGGCATAAAAGCACAACAGTCTGTCTGAATCTGGGAGCTGCACTGAAAAGTTACCCACCATGGAGGAGCGAGCCTGTGGCATTTTTAAAAATACTAGTATCCTACCTTTCAATACACAACGACTTACAAGACATCCAGCACAGCAAAGGGACAGATAAGGCATGCATATATAAGTGTATATATTTGGATACGTCACATATATATGGATATAGTAAAAAATAGAAATATATTATCAAT